CACAGATTTTGCGGCACAGCAGGTGTTTTGTCACAATGGCGTGTACGGAACCGTGACTTATTCCCATCAAAAGACTAATTTCTTCCATGAATATGACCATCCAACACAGCAATAACATCAGGAGTGATAACACAATGAGCCTGTCCTGGGTGAGCATCATCTTGCAGTGGCACACATCCTTCTCGGAATCTCTTATGCCACGCCAGCACACACAAACGTGACATGCTGTGTTCGCCGTAAACAACCAACATGCGACGATAAATTTCTCATCCTACTCCTTCAACAGTCAAGAAGCACACTACACTTCACTGTTTTTCTTTACCCACCTCCATTACTGATGTTGGACGACCACATGTAGTGCCAACCTTACTTCCAGCACAATAAACAAACGACTGGTGTGCAAGGGCATGTTGTCACTGTGCTTTCACAAGTCCCCACCAGATGTTTGTGCCGTAAGCAAATTCCAGTGTTACCAACTTGCACACTATGTAAATCATGCGTGGTGACCCATTTTCATTTGACTGCCCCTTGTATATTATTCACATCATCAGCATAGGCCAGCAGCTGATGTGTCACATTTCATTTCAGTCCCACCTGATTTTCCTGGACCTTCCTAATAGCATATTCTAAAGCAAAGTTGATAAGGAGTGGCAATAAAGCATCTCCTTGTTTTAGACCATTTTGGATAGAAAAATTACCAGACAAATATTTACCTATATGGGCCTTACCATACGTTTCATTTAAACACATTTTAATCAGCCTAACTAGTTTCATGGGTACCCCAAACTCTTATCAGAATGTTGTACAATACTTCCCTCCTAACTGAATCATAGGCTTTCTTTAAGTCTATGAATAGCTTATGTACCCATGAAACTAGTTAGACTTATTCAGATATGTTTAAATGAACCTGTAGTAAAGTCCTCATGAGTTAAAAACTGATGTGTTTCAAATTTAAAGTGGTCTGAAAGACAGAGATGCTTTATTTCCATTGCTTTTCAGTTTTGTTTTGGAATATGCTATTAGGAAGGACGAGGAAAACCAGGTGGGACTGAAATTAAATGGGACACATCAGCTGCTGGTTATAGAAATCTATCGGGAGATAACATAAAAACCATAAAGAAAAAGTAAAGCTGTAATTGATGATAGTGGGTAGGTTGGTCTACTTGTAAATGCAGAGATACTATGTGTATGTAAGTTTTGAGGTTTTCACGGCGATGACAATGAAGAGAGTCGTCTTCTTGGTTTAGGCACCGTGTATTCTTCGTGTTGGCCGACGTTTCGGAGGAACGTAGCGCCTCCATCTTCAGAGCAGTTGAATGGCTGGAATGCAGAGAGCAGTAGCTGTGGTGATAGGATGTGAAAGGCGCTGCTTATATACGAAGTAGGCAAGGGGGTTGGTTAGGGAGAACGGACCAATGGGAGCAGTGGGGAGCGATTAAGACCATATATGGTGTGTGACTAAGGGAGGGGGGGGAACGGCCAGTGAGTGAACGGCCACATACTATGTGTATGTTGATCTCTCATCACCAGATTGCAGGCTAAAATCATGACATAAAGCTGGCCAGTAGATCCTCTGAAATAAGTTCAAATGTTTGGTTTTGACATGAACAAATCAAAATAGATTCATGAGGAAATTACGAACAGGTTGACTGTGAGTAACACTTGCTACCATGTGGTTCAGAATCTTTGGACTTTTTGTTTGCTGTCTAAAAAGGTAAACCTTAAAATAAATAAACCTACAATTTTGCATGAGGTTTTTATGGCTGTGAAACTTGGTCTCGGGCATAGACTGAAGATAATGGTGCTGAGGAGAATATTTGGACTGAAGAGGAATGAAATGGTAGGACACTGGAGACAATTGCATAATGGAGAAGCTTCATAATGACCAAATTAATTTGAATGATCAAGTCAGTGAGGATGAGATGGGCATGCCATGTAGCACAGAGAGGTGGAATGCCAGAAGGAAGAGGGAAATTGGGAAGACCTGGATGTAGGTGGGAGAATAATATTAAAGTGGATCTTCTAGAAATGGGGTGGTGTGTTATGGCTCTTGTGAACAGAGACAATAAGTCTTGAGGTTCATAAAACGTTTGGAAGTTCTTGAGTAGCTAAGGGACTGGCACATTTTCAAGAAGGACTCAGCTTCATGGAGTTGGTTGGTTAGTTATAGGAGTTTGAAGTTCTCAGAATGGTGAATAAAAGATTATTGTATTTTGGGATGTAACACTGTTGTGTAGTTAGGTATTTGCCAACATTTTGGAGCAATGTTCTGGTCCCACCTTGAGGGCACAAGAGTAAGTCTGCAAGAAGAAGAACTAGAGGGAATCTCATAGCCTCAAACCTTGTTCTCCTTTCTGTACATCCCTGACCATTTTTCCCTGTATGGTTTTACTTTCCTGACTTGAAGAGAGAGGCATGAAGTATAGATATTTACCAGGACAGTACTCTTCCTTAAATAGAAACTGTTCTGAAGGGGACTTGGCTAGGTTTTTTGCAGTAGTAATGTAATCTACATTACAAAATAGGGTTTTATTGTGTGCATCCCTTGGCACAGAAATGTTGTGTTTGCTAATTTGTTCCTGTCTGCTCTCCATGTTGGTTCCCCACCGTGGGTTTCTTGGACAAAGAACCTATATGTACATGAACACTGGTCTACTCTTCTCACTTTTACCCTGAAGATAGAATTAGTACATACTCCCAACAAGTAGGCATTACTGACCTCATTCACATGGTGCAAAGATCCAAGAGCAAAATCGACATCAGGACTGGGGGACTTTTTTAATGTGAATTAAACTAGTAAATTCAGTTGTCATTAGCATTGTGTTATGAGACAGACTGGTTTGCTGTGGTTTGTTTCTTGCCAGGAGCAGGATTGTTTTCTTTGAAGTGTTTCAAGATGTGATTGTAATCAGTTATAAGTGTAAAGTGTATTGTTCTCTTGGATATGAGCCCTGTAGATGGGTAGATGTTTACCAATTTTTCTTTGGAGCGGGGAAAGCTTGTTCTTCTAACTATAGCCTCTGATTGGAGGGGGAAGCAAGGCATCCCTCTCAGGGGAGGTTTTTGATAAAAGCCAAAATTGAAATAGAAGAAAATAAAAAATATAACACCTGTTGTGCCAAAAATGTTAATTATTTTAAATGTGCAGCCATGTGTGTTTCAGTACAGAGATCCATAACTCTGGTGGAATTCATATAATTATTTTGAAATGGCATAAACATTCTTCTATGAGCCGGAATAGCACGGTCGGTATAGTGACTAACTAGTGTGGATGACCAAGGGGCCCAAGTTCAAGTCCAGGTGGGGTCAAGAATTTTCACTTCTCCATGTCATTCAGATTGGCTCTTAGGTCTACACAACCTCTTATCCAATGGGTACTGGGAACTCTTTCCCAGAGGGTAAAGTGGCCGGGGTGTGAAGCTGACCATTCACCTCCAACTAGATCAAGAAAATGTGGGTCTATACCGTCTATACATACACTCCACTATATGCCTTCATGGCATAGTGTTTACTTAGTTAAGTACAGGGACAGCTTTACCTTTACCTTTAAACAATTTACAAAGCAGGTCCCCCCCCCC